TAACTCCTAAGTCTTAGTATAGCCTAGTGGTAACATTGAGGAATGCTAGGACCCACTTCATAGGCAAAGAGCAGGAAAAAAGGATTGATCATGGGTCTTTTTGTCTTTTGTGCCCCTCCCTTCCTGTGATCCACACTGTAGGGTGGTTTTAGTTGAATGGATTCGGCATTCGCCACATGCACAGCAATATATGCTTCTACCATCATTGGTGCAAGCATGTTGTTACTTTGAGGCATTTATTATTGGAAGCACAGCTATTGGGATTGAGGCTGGGGAGCAGAGGATCTGACGGTTCCTGCTGTAAAGTTACCCAGCTGTTGACAGGCTTTGAAAGTTTCAAAACCAAAGTGGGTAAATACACACAATTTCCTGTACTTGGCAGCGGACCCCAAAAGTGAATATTAGCTAAATTTCCCTCTTGGTTCTGCTGGACATGCCTTGCCTCGCTGCCTTCTCAAGACTTGGGGATGTCTGAGAACACTGAAAACATAGAACAGAGGGCGCACCAGCCAAATGACTCTGAGGAAGAGGCAAGGCCTCGAAATGGTCATATTTTGGTTTGAAAGTTTAATATTTACTATGGTTTCAACAAAGTCATGTTTTGAGGATGTCTGTTCTATTTTATGCTGACAGACTTTGTCCTGACCCAGGCATTGTTGACCTTCTAACTTGGGGCTCAATCTTTCTGGTAAGCAGGTGAAGTTGGTCTGTGGTGATGGAGCATGGGACCTGCACCATGGATTGCTGGCACTTGTAGCTCACATATTAAATGGACTACTCAAAATATTAACATGTGTTTAAATGTTATTATTATCACCTTTTGTGTTTGAGCAGTTACATTACTGAATGGTGTCACTTTATTTGTCATAAGCAGTTTGGTATGAAAGAAATGGTGCATCTGTTTTTTCATTACAGTTTTATTTGTGTTTTGGTATCATGACACTTTTTAGTATGCAGCCCCCTTTACTTCATCTTCCGAATATATTATTTTATTGATTTATTTTACATTAAGCACAAGGTGGCTTGGTTTTATATAATTGTAGGTGAAAATAAGGTAGGCTCACCTACAAACTAACAGACAGCTCCATGTGAAGTGGCCATATGGAATTTGCCAGAAGGGATGGCTCAGGTCCAGACAGAGTTATCCATGTTGAACCACAGATAGGGTAAGGAGAGGATGCTCCCTTGTGAAGAAAGCACACATGACATTCAAAGGGGCCAAGGGCACCATCCCCATGCTGGGGCTCACAAGTTTGGTCATTTTCAGAATTACTGACCCAACAATAAAAAGAGGAAGCTGTTAAACTGTTAATTTCCCACTGTCAGGGTCAAGCAGTGAAGTGGCGAAGTGGAACAACTCTCTATCCAAGAATTGAACATGTGGTGGTCAACTATATTGTTGTGCATGAATTATTCAAAGCCAAAAAGATCAGGTGTCTTTTTGATACTGGCTCGCAAGTCACTACCCTACCAGCGTTTTAGCAATACTTTAATAGGAAGATAAGCCCAGGCATACTATGGATCTTATTGAGAGCTGCCAATGATCTCCTCCAGGTAGCTACGATTACCTGAATGAAAGCGGAGCTGTGAGGGCAGGACCTCTTCCAGAAAAGTGTAGTGCTCGCATAGGCCTCGGGAAAGTGACCACTGTAGGTGCTATTGGGTAAGAATTTAATCTGGGGACTGAGGGCTGAAATGCTGTAGGAGCTTCCTCCATACTTGGGTCCCTGAAAAAATACCAAGATACCCACAAGAGAGAGCCCTTCTATCCTTATTGTAGAAATCCTCCCTCTAGTGATGCCAGGTCTTCTTCAAAGCAGTGAACTTCTAGTGCAGCGTGGATTACTGGCTGAGACTGTGAAGGACTCCTGATGCCCACCCTCCCCTCCTCACCTTCCTCCATTAGCAAAATGCCTTCACAGTATGCAACACATTCTGTGAGTGGGGGAAGAGTGAATAATTGACAGGATCCTCTTTTCCATTCACAGAATATGTTGCATTCTGTGAAAACAATATAATGCAAATAAATAAATAAATATTAATAATACAAAATACAATATAAATACCATAGGGGATTTTTTATCTAACAAATGGTCTAGTTTTTAGTCTTCAAAAGTCAGATATGGTTAATGACTATCATTTTTATCTTTTATATTTGTATAATACTTTTTCACAATATAAGACTATCATTGTAGTTACAGTAACATTCATATTACTCCATAAAGTTCAATAATTATTTTTATAACACATATATTTTGCACTCAAAATTATAAGGCTGCGCTTTTGCTTTGTAACTACTAGACTTACTTATGTAACTACAGTCTTATGACCAGCCTGGCAGACCAGCTGAAAACTCGAATCATGGGAGGATTAAATGCAAATTTAAGTTCTTGACAGCTAGTGGTTTCTCATCTATTCTGGTTTAGTGCCAGCATTGTCAGACAATCTGGCCTAAGGCAAGATGGCAGTTTCGTGACATATTCCTTTAGAATAAACAACCCCAGTGTATATAAAGCCATGTGAAAAAGTAAGTACACCCCATGGAAGTGACATTTTCAATATATTTGAACAGGTAAACATTAGATCTTTATTCAAACAGTGCCAACTGATAAAAGTGATACACTTTGCTAAATGGCACCCAGAATTGACATAGTGTGTTTATTAACATAATCTAAGTTAACAAAATTGCAGATCTGTCATGGAAACAGGAGTTCCAGATAAGATAACAATTTTTAAAATCTCCTTGGAACCTGTCTTATTATTCCAGACATATCGGGGTTTATTTACTAAAGCTGGAGAGTCCAAAATCAGACTCCCTTCTGCATATAAACCAATCAGCTTCCAGATTTCATTGCCAAAGCTTCATTGAACAAGCTGAGGTTAGAAGCTGATTGGTTTCTATGCAGAAGGGAGTCTGATTTTGGACTCTCCAGCTTTAGTAAATAAACCCCATCAGGTCTGGTGTTCTCTTTGCTATTGGAGTGTATAGTGTCATCATATCAAGCTCAAAAAAACTTTCTAATACCCTCAAAAAGAAGGCTGTGGGGAATTAAAAAGATTGCACAATTATTAGAAATCATTCATTTCACCGTAGGTAAAATGATCTACAAGTGTAGTCAGTTTAAAACGACTCCTAATTTATCTAGTATGGGTTGGCCCAGCAAATTCTGCCTATGAAATTACTACTTTAAGCTAAAATATCTCTCCAAGAACACCAAAATTACACTGTAAGATCCACAGGTAACTCTTGCAAAGCTGGTGTTAAAAATGCATATATCTACATCTACATTGGAGGTGTGCCAGGAAAATCATTTTGCTATCCAAAAAGAATATTAGAGAATAATTACAGTTTGTCATTGCACATATATGCAAAGAATAGGCCTTCTGGAACAATAAACTGTTGACTAAAGTATCAAAGACAGAGCTGTTTGACAATTCTAACAGTAGACATCTTTGGTGAAAACTGAAGCCAATATTTCATGAGAAGACAATAACCTTATAACAACTGTGAAGCAAGGTGATGAAAATGTTAAGTTTTTAAGTTACTTTGCTGTTTCAGGGCCATGAAACCTTGCAATCGTGAACTGTACTAGAAATTCTGCATAATTTCAAAGTGTGCTTGATGGGAATGTAAGTACATCTATCTGGAAGTAAAAGCTGAAGTAGAGCTTTCAGCTAATAATGATCCAAAGCACACTAGCAAATCCACCAAGGATTGGAAGAGTGGTCAAAAATGTCAATTGAGAAAATGGTGGGCACTTATGTAAAACACCTACAAAAATACATTTCTTTCTTTTTCCACAGTAGATCATTACATCTATTTTTGTTGAATAAATGATTTAAGGTGCACAGTTTTCTCATGTTTTTTTTTTCAAGCATATCACCCTTATCTGTAGACACTGTATGGCAAAGGAACTCTGCACTGTTATGCGGTATCTCTGTAATGTAGCTATAGGGTATAAATAATATACAGTGAGGAACAGAAGTATTTGAACACCCTGAGATTTTGCAAGTTCTCCCACTTAGAAATCAATTGCCCCGTAGCCCTTTCCAGCCTTGTGGAGGTCCACAATTTTGTCTCTGGTCTTTGTTTTTTGACTGTGGGGTGGACAGGTGTCTTTAAAGAGCTCAGACAGGTGCTACTAAGTTAGATTAATGAGTGGAGTAGAGGTGGACTTTTTAAAGGCACAGTAACAGGTCTTTGAGAGCCAGAATTCTTGCTGTTTCTTAGGTGTTTAAATACTTCTGTTCAGCAGTGCAAGACAAATAAATTCTTTAAAAATCATACAATGTGATTTCCTGAATTTTTTTTTTAATTCTGTCTCTCAGAGTGGGAATGCACCTAGAATGTGAATTTCAGACCCCTCCATGATTTCTAAGTGGGAGAACTTGCAAAATCGCAGGGTGTTCAAATACTTCTGTTCCTCACTGTACATATTATTGCTAAAGTCTACTTACAATCACTGTATTAAGAATGTTCTCTGAGTTACCCTATACATACCTTGACCTAAGGGACTCTCCTATGTATACTGCACATGGGGTGCTCATTTTGTATCAAAGATTTCAGTACCAGAATAATACAACCAGATTGTTAAAGAGAACAGCTTTCTGTGTCTGTCTAGTAATGTAGACATTTATTCTGCACCTTTGAGACAGGTAGTTAGCACATGCTATTTTAACTCAGCACTACACCCTACGCCCTGCATTATTATGAATGAATACTTACATTTTTGTTGAATTTCCCTTAGTTTCAAGCTAATACAAGATGCAAAAGAGAGATACCATTTTTCCTGACACTAAAAATACCTGGATGCATCTAGAAAGAATAGCAACTTTTTTTTTCAGGAAAACAATGCCTAGAGGCGAATATGTTTGTAGATATAAAAATTATAACTACATTAATTAATGTCTTCTAAAACTTGATTTATTACCTCATGCTAGTCTAATAAAAATACTTTTGTATAATATGTATGTGTTCCAGAACTGTAAATGACACCTACCTGGCTAACTGAAAGAGGATCATCAGCACTCCTGTCTTCAGACGACTTTGGGACCTCTAGCCGATCAATGAATGTCTGAAGTTCTTTCCTGAAAGCCTTCATCTGTGCATTGATCCGATAAAGTAATTCATGTTCTCGTATTCTGCTGCCTTCATCTTCCTCATCCATTAGTCCAAACAAGTCACCATTGGCCACGTATATTCTGGCTTCAGTGATTATAGTGCTTGTGTCTGAGATAAGTCGGTCAATTGTCTTGCCCAGTCGTTCAGCCTCAGACCGAATATCTTTCATCTGCTGCCTCTCAGCAAAATTCTTCTGCCAGACACTAGTAGAAGGATAAAAAGACCTAGTAGGAGTAAGACATCGGATATTGCGCACCTCCTCTGAGTCACTTTCACCACCAATGGGGCCTTCTCGTTTTCTGTGTGGAGGGCGAGAATCATCATCACTTTCCTTTTTCCCAGCATCGCTCTCTGCATCACTATCTCTGGGACTTCCTCGGATACCGAGGTGGGAAGCAAGGTCATAGCGCTGCATGTTAGACATGAGAACTCTATTTTCATACTGGAGCTGCATGACTTTGCCACTCAACTCATTGATCTGCAAACGTGCAGTTTTCAGCTCCTCCTGTAAAGCTTCTGTCTTGACACTTTCACTGTGCCGAGAACTTTCATGAGTGCCGGACTTAAATTTGTACTTGTTCATCTCTGTAGTGAGGCGTTTGTTTTGCTCTTCTGTATCACTAAGATTACGTCGTAAAAGTTCAGCTTCATCTTCAACCAACTGCAAGTGCTGCCGCAGTTCTGACACTGACTCACTTTGCTCCCGTGGAAGAGAGTTAGATGTGCTGGAGTACTCATCTCCCCTCAGGTCATCCAGCTCTGCCTTCAGGCCTCTATTTTCTACTTCTAGCTCTACTATCTTCCTTCCGAGTATATTAGCTTCCTCTTCAACTAAACGCAGTCGAAGTTTCAGTTCTGCCTCTCTTGTCGTAGGGGGTCCACTAGCCTCTCCCTTTGGTAAAGGGCTATCAAGATCTCCATAAAATGATCTGTACTTCTGCAGTTCATGCTCAAGTCTGTCTTTGTCTTTATCAATCTTGGCCATTTTCTTCCTCATTAACATTGCTTCCTCTTTGACAAACTGTAGCTGGCACTTCAAATCCTCACTGTCCTCCTGATCACGAGAAAAAAACAAGAAATTCAAATGTTAGGATATAAACTAAAAACCCCAGTAATCATGCAAACAACACAATTTAAACACAGAAAAAGTGATTTGTGCAAATTGCACGCTTTCCTATAAATATGCATACTTTCACTGGCTGTCATTCTGTGAAAGCAGGCATTGTTGCTGCAATGTGGTCAGCTGACCTGTTGTCAACATTGGTCACCTAGAATGGTGGGTTTTGGTCCCCTGGTCCTGAAAACTAGTGTGCATAGTGCAGAGAGTAAGCACTTAGCATGTGACACAGCCAGGAATCAAGCATTTTCAGATGAAGGCCTGTCATGTCAGTCTCCATACTTCTCTTGTGACTTTGTGATGCACATTTTCCTGTGGTTTGGTAGGCTTTAAAAGCACATAGAGTACACTCTAGTACAGCGGTTACTATACAGATGACCAAATCAATCCATCAAGTCTGAGATAGTGATAAGCCTAATGGACCTGGGTTGGACAAACTTTATTAAAGTTTATTTGTCAAATCTGAACCATGTTGAAGTCAATAGAAGGTGAATCTTAGAAATCAGTAATGGCATTTTCTAGGGTAATAGGCAATGAATTTTCAAACACATGGAATGGGGGTTGGGCACTACCTTGGGTAACATGCACCAAAGGGTAGAAGGATTTTAATAATGCTCAAAATTCCTTTAATTAGCATGTCTATAATTGACAGCTTCTGGCTGCTTACAGACAGAATATTTGTAAACATACAATGACATGGGGCAAAAATACATACCCGGCCCTGAGCCTGGATGAGGGTCTGGCACAGATGTCCATGGGGACCCCACACAAAAAAGAACAAATACCAGACCCTTATCTGAGTATGCAGTCTGAGAAGCCAGGAAAGGGTGGAAAAAGCATGCACCCCCGTCCCATTCTAAACCATTCCAGGCCGGATGAAGGGCACTATCTAAAGGTCCTCTTGTTTTTGTGCTGATGTCATGCTGCCGTTTCCAGGAGTCGGATCAGTGGCCATTTTAGTAAATCTGAACTGTTTGTTCTGTTTACTACATTAGCACTTTATGATATATTGGTTCATATTTATTTGCCTTCTGATAATACTTGCACACATTACAGTGAATGTTTTATGCACTTTTAATATGTTTGAATGTATTGAGTCATATTGATTTATTGTTTTTGTGTATGTTATTTTAATACTTTAAGCACTGCACTATCACTTTATTAAAGGGATATCAACTCCTTCGTGCTGACACCTCCTGGTCATGTGACTGCTGTGATTGGTTGTCACAGCATTCACATGATTGGACAGCTCCCAATGGCAAGTATGCATAGGGAGCTTACCGATCCCCACTGGCTACAGTGCTGGGAGCGCGCTCTCAGAATGGTTTGTTTATACAGGGCTGCATAAATGTGGCCATTTGGCATTTAGACATACCCAACGAGAGGCCAGCGCCAGGTAGTTAAACGCAAAAGCAAACATTTATTATATTGCAACTTAACAATTCTTAGATATGATGGCTGCATTAGTTTTTTTTTAGTTTATTTTATTTTTAACTGGTGATCCTGCTAGTAATTCTATTGTTTTCCAGTTGAACAAGCTGTCCTGCAGATGTAGCAGTTAGAGGTTTGAGACAAACCATTTAACACTGACAGGAGGTGCTCACAATGATCAGCTTTTATGTAAAACCTTTATCCCAAAAGGTAAAAAAAAACTATTTCAGTAACTGCTTATATAGCTTTATCTGGAGTTTGGCTTCAATTTGTTAGTGCATCTAAATCTGCTAGTACATCAAACACTCCTCTCCCCCCAGATCAACAATGCTGCTGTCCAAATGTGCCCCCTATGTTCCTACATTCAAAGTGAGGGCACTCTAATACAGGAGGTGTGACACTGGTCAGATCACCAGTTGAAAACAGAGGGAAAACGCCTAATGAAGAAAACTAATGCTGCCGCCACCTCTAATGATTGGTAAGCTGCAATAAATTACATTTTTGGTTTTGGGTTTAATACTTCTTCAAAGAAAACCCCTTGCTTTGCCCTGCATGAGTTCACATGTAGGACCAAGGTGTTCAGGGGAATTGTCTTCCCTCACTGAGAAGGCTAAACATATATATATATATAGGAAACTGTTTAGGAAAATGTTTAAAATACAGTTTTAATCTTATGACAGATAACTGTCTTATTTGCATAGGTATGAATTTTGGAAATAAATTGATATATAATGGTTTATTATCTTGTGGCTTCATCCACAGTAGAAAGCTAAAAACTGCTTTAGAAACGATGGACAAAAAATGTTGGTTTAGCGTTTTTTTGGGTGTTTAGCAGTGTTTAGACTAATGTGTAAGCTACATTTAATAGCTTCAGCATTAAGAAGTAGGGCTGCCGCCGTCCTGAACAACTAGCGAATCGCTGTTTTTTAAGCAGCGGGCCAGGAAGCTGTTTGCCGCATCCCTAACAACAGATGAGCAGAATGTAAAAAAACCCATTGCAAGCAATAAAAAAAGTGAAAAAAACGGCTTGGGGGGTCTCCCTCAATTCATACCAGGTCCTTTGGTCTGGTATGTATTTTAAGGGGAACCCCCATGCCAAAAAATAAAAAAAAATGGCAATTTTTTTTTAAAAGTCGGTGTGGGTCCCCCCCAAATCCATACCAGACCCTTAGGTCTGGTATGGATTTTGAAAGGCCAAATAAAAAAAATTGGCATGGGGTACCCAAAAATCCATACCAGACCCTTATCCGAGCATGCAGCATAGCACGCCAGGAAAGGAGGGGAATGAGTAAAAGCCCCCCCTCCTGAACCATACCAGGCCACATGCCCTCAACTTGGAGGGTGGTTTGGGGTAGGTAGGCTCCCCCTCCAAAGCACCTTGTCCCCATGTTGATAAGGACAAGGGCCTCTTCCCCACAACCCTGGCCAGTGGTTGTGTGCAGTCTAACAAGGGTACCTCCAGATCCCAGCCCCTTCATGTGAGTGAACTTGGGGGGACCCCACACCGTTTTTTATTTTACATTTTGGTGTTGGGTTCCTCTTAAAATCCATTCCAGACCTAAAGGACTTGGTATGGATTGGGGGGGGACCCCCACACCATTTTTTTTTTTTCACAATTATTTTTTGCCGGCAATGATGAAGTCACGTGGGCCTTAGGTCTGGGCAGACATGAATAGTGAGTTCAGCTGATGATTTTATGAACAGTTGTGGCCAAATTATTCAAAACTGAAAAGTGTTTTGGCCAGTTTGACATTGGATCATTCATGGGGTACCCAATGTCTTTTCTGTGCTCACAGCATTATCAGTTTTATTCCATGACATTCCAGCATCCCTTAACAGCTTTTAAACGTGAAGCATAGCTTGACACAAGTGCTTGCAGCGATCTACGGGTATCTTCGCCCATTCTTCATGGGAAAAGGCCTCCAGTTCAGTCACATTCTTAGGCTTGCGCACTGCAACTGCTTAAGTCCCACCAGAGGTTCTCAATCGGATTTAAGTCTGGTGACTGCGATGGCCACTCCAAAATGTTCCAGCCTTTCCTCTGCAACCATGCTCTAGTGGACCAGGTCCTGTTGAAAGGTCCAACGTCTCCCAATCAGGTGTGTGACGGACTGCATCACGTTTCCAATCTTGAATTCATGGTACCTTGGTGAAGCTTCCCTTACCTGCAGAAGGGCATGGAGGCTCCCACCCTTCACAGTAGGCAAGCACCTTTCATCATAGGCCTTGATAAGGATCCATGGGGTTCTAATTTTGTTTCATCTCCACAGAAACACTATCCCACAACTTTTGTGGTTTGTCCACATGGGCCTTTGGCTGTGTTTTGGGTACTGCAGTCGACTCTTCTTATTCTTTGGAGACAGCAAGGGGGTACGCCTGGGAGTTCTGGCACGGACTTGGGGGACCCTTCATTACACGTCTTATTTTTTTTTTTGACAAATCTTTTTGGTGTTGGGACTTCTTCCACTCTTAAAATCCATCTTCTTTTGCCAGACCCGTTTCAAAGGCCCTTTGGTTGCGAATGATGGGGAGACCCCTTATAGCCATTGCCCTTCCTGTGAAGAGAAATCACCTTTTTTTCTTCACATTCTCTTGCCTTTTTGTAACCACACCAGTAAATGCTAGAAGGAGCTGAGTATCACAGTCATTTTAAAGCTGCCTAATTGGTGCTTATTATGCTTGATTGCTGCTCGGTGACATCCACAGGGTTTTCAATACCTGATGGAAAGCACCTGTATGAACGGCTTGGCTCTGGGGGCAGAGTGAATAAGGGTTCATTGTGGCTGATGATTTTATGTATTACATTTTATTCATTTTTTATTTGGGTAGTTACATGTGAATGTATTACTATAGATTCATTGGGGGTTGAATAATTTTAACTGTACAAAATTTTCTATTAGTAAATACACATGGGATTGTCCTTTGTTCCCTTTTAAGGATGGGAATATGTGACCTCCATTACCCTTAAAGGGACCGATCCCTGGCTCTGGTTTGAAAATCTATTGAAAGCTGAAAGTTTGATTACTATCACATGGCTGTGGATTGAAAAAGTGAAGAATCCTTTTGCCTATTTGATATCATAAAGCGCATTTCCATGAGCACTGAGGTGGCACTATATGTTATGTGCACTATTTTACTTGATGGTGTTTGGGATATCAGCACAAAAAGAAAACACATGAATTATGGAAGAATCTTTATTACAAATTGATTGATTTTACATATATGGACTTAATATGAACGTTTTATTCAGCTATGTCACTCTTTTATTTTTTTGTAGCTATTATTTAGCAGTACTACATCACTTATTTATTTTTAATTTGCTTTACTATTGTGGGAACACAATTTGATGTTAGCAGCAGCCACTATCATCACACTATGTTTATTTCCTTTCTGCTTGTGTGCGTTTTGTTGTGTTTTTTTTTTCCTCTCTCATTATTGAGGTATCGCTGGGGTTTCACTCCTATATTTCTTTTTTGGAATATTTTTAATATAAAAGTAAAAGGGGG